GGTTTGTCAGTTGAGATCGATAAACTTGAGATGGACGAAAATAGGTCACTATACCCTGATCGTCTGCCGATTAACTGGCTTTGAGCACTGGACCTTTCAGGTTATGGCATCTGGGCATTTTCCGAGACCGATTTAGATCCTAAAAGGCATAGAATAGGAATGTGGAATAGCCTACGACTGGTAATATCCTCGCAGACCTGATGACTGCGGTGCCTGCCGGGGTATTCATCGATCGCGAAGGGTTGGGCGTCTACCACGATCAATGGGATCGGGGGCCATGGATAGAGCTAGATACCCCGCACTGATGCAATGAGTCAGGGGTAAAGCTGACTAGGTTGCGATCTCGTCATGCATGATTTCGCCAAGTGGAGGACCGGGCGGAATAAGATGAGTACCCCTATCACGCCCTTGTAGGAAGTCAATTGGCGTGGAGCGGCCCGGGAGGAATATGCAACTCACGTAGTGCTGGTCTCAAACGCTCGTGTTGACTGAGAGAGATTCCCAGAGGGTACTAGCTACAGCATCGAGGCGCATGTTTGGGGCGGGGTAAGGCTCTGTCCGGGCAATACATGCACTTGGCCTCTTTGCCCTACATGTCCAAATTTTTGCTGATACCTAAGCGTTGGAAGGGATAACCGAACATTGCGAATGTGGGTGCCAGAAGTTAGTCCAGAACTCTGCAATGGCCAGCTAATACCCAAAGGAGCGTAAGGTGTACTGGCTAGTAAGTTTGTGGAGCCTCGTTGCGAAGCAGATCCGACCATCCAAGTTGTCACGCAAGAGGAATCAAGTGGCACGAGTCTAGCCATCTCGCGACTATCCGGTTCACAACGCTCGCGAGATATAAAAACATTATATGGACTCACGATAGGATTACATAGAGTTTAGAAAACGATACGTCGGATACATGAAGTCGTGCAAGACGCGATAGCATTACTCGTAAGAAACGGTGCCATCGATCAAAAATAGCACACCATTCAACCCCTAGAAAAGACAAGTTTGAGGGGTCCGGAGGAAAATATGCGCAGCATTATCGTACCTCTTTCATGCCAATAATCCGAACCCCATCTTCCAACGTGACCCGACTCCATTCTGGACCCTTCCCGTTGTTCTTGCTAACTGGTTTGAACGAAATAGTCTTCCCATCAAGCAGAGTAGGGTACTCCTGCAAGTCGAGCGTAATCGGTGATTTCTAGGAGTTCGATGGTGTGGGTAAGTCCGGGGTAGGGATTCCACCGGGCTGGGTACGTACGGGGATGATGTGAGCAGACACCCATCGCTCGACGTTCCTCTTCGATATGCTCTCAAACTCCTCCTCTGTAATCTCAACATCATCGCCTGAAGGTGCAGTCTGAGTAGGTCCTTGGTGACTGGCGCCAGAACATGACGTCAAATCACCGTCGTAACGAGAAGTGGCTCGACTCACGGCTTGCGGGCTAGCGCCATAACCGCCTTATTCGTGGGCACAAATACTGTCGAATTGACGCGAGGGTCCACAAAAATTGAACTAAGCTGTATCTCCCGAGCATAAGAATAGAATATCGAGGCTGTGGGCTCTATTGTCAGGAGATCCGCCAGCGTTGGCTTGGTGTGTGTCGTCGGTGAGTAGTCTGAGGGATTGTTAGACATGGGAATTTGCTGCTCTTGAGACGCAAAGGAGAGTAGAGGGGCAGCGAGGAGAGCAAGTAGCTGGAGACGCATGTTTGATTCAGTGGAAAGCTGTGGCAAGCCTCGATGATCGATCAGTCTTGTTGTGGAGGTCGAACACGTGCTAAAGCAAATATTCATCAACCTCTTGATCCTGACCTCCATCTCGTACGCTCACAACTTGGCCAAACCTCCCAGAAACCGCACTACATTCCCGCAGAATCTCGTTCAGCAAGCAACCATGCTCTTGGATACCTTGAAGGAATTATTCTCGACTAGCGACGAGGTGTTCCCTGCACCCGAAGGCGGCATGATGAGCATCAACGAAATGAACGATCAGTCCGACGATCTAGCTAATCTCAGCGCTACCTTGCAGTACAACAAGGCAGCGGTCGAAGCGGCCCACTCAAGCGGTCATCCTTCTCTGGCTTCTTTTCTAGAGACCCTCTCTTACTTTCACGAGAATCGATTCACCAAGGTAGTTGACCCGTCCGATCTGAAAGAGGCTGTCCATCGTATGAAAACTGCGATCGATGCCACACCTGCAGAGGACACTGAGCTTCCTCTTCGTTACTCAGGTCTCGCGAGATATCTTGCACGGCTCTTTCGAGAGCTAGATGATCTAGCTTCTCTAGAGTTAGCTTTTAAGTACCAGCACCTCTCAGTTGCGGGTACACCAGAGGGCGACCCTGCCCTCTTGGAACGGATGACAGACCTGTCCGTATCTTATTCCGATAGGTCCGAACGACTGGGCGACAGGAATGATCTTGAAGAGTCTTTGAAGTGTGATATAGCTGTTGTCGCTGCTGTGGCCAGCGATGACCCCGAGCTGCCACGATAGCAGCAAAGTCTGGCTGCGTCATATGCTTCCTATTTCGATACCTTTGACGAAATTACGTCGCTCGAGTCTGCTTTACATTGGAATAGGTTCGCTGTGCAGAGCACACCCTCGGACATTCTGACTTGCCTTTCAGGCATGAATGTCCGGCTGTGCCTGTGACCCGCTACTTTGACAAAACTGGCAAGTCAGAGGACATCCAGTCAGCCATAAGATACGGCAGACTCCTCGCTCTTGACGCCACCCCAGTCCAGAGTCCTGAACGTGCTCAGCGCCACACCATTTTGGCGCTCGCATATTCTGGGTCCAATGTATCCACCGTACATCTAAGTACTAGTACATACAAACGCAGCACTCAAAGACGCCCATGAATATCCAGCGCCGGTCTCCCATAATTAACCTCCCCCTCCGGCTTATTCCCCAAAATCCCCTCAATCTTCTGCATAATCTCCTCCGTCAACCTCCCCAACACCTCCACCGCCTCCAAATTCTCCCTCAACTGCTCCTTACTCGACGCACCAAGAATCACCGTCGACGTGTTGGGGTTCTTCGCCACCCACGCGAGGGCGAGCGCGGTGGGGGTGGTGTTCAATTCGTCCTTGGCGAGTTGGGTTAGGGCGCGGACTTTGGCGATTTTGGATTGGCCGGAGGGGAGGAGGAGGGAGTCGACGGTGGATTTGAACATGGCGGTGGTGGCGAAGCGGGAGCCTTCGGGGATGCCGTCGTTATACTATGTGGGGAGCGTGGTTAGGTGCGGAAGGGTGGAGGTGGGGGGGAGGGTACGGACCTTTCCGGTGAGGAGGCCGCTGGCGAGGGAAGACCAGGTGGTGGTTCCGAGCCCGTATTTGCGGTAGAGGGGGCTGTGGGTAGCTTTAAGTACTGAGTGTGGATAAAAAAAGCTCGGGTATAGCTTACTCGTATTCCTTCTCAGGGCGCTCACGGTGGAACATGCTACACCCCCCGTCAGCACTTTTCCTAAAACCAAAGAAAGGGGAAAAAAACGCAACGCACTTGTGTTGACACTGCTCCGCAATCGGACCCATCAAGCCCAGCTTATCAGCCACATCTACACAGCAAAACCATTCCTCAGCCACGACAACTCAGCCCCACAACGAATTTGGATGTGACACGTACGGAAAGCCTCCTCGATCTCCCGCGCGCTCCACTCTGAGGTCGCCCAGTAGAACGCCCAACCTTTCTCGATGATATAGTTGAACGCCCGCACGATCTCCTCCATCGGGACTATATGCGCCCCCCCAAAGAAAACAGTCAGCTCTGCCTTCCTACCCATGCCGGATGTTTAATGCAGGACGTACCGGTGTGGTCAGGCCGGTGCGCGAACATGACATCAACGTAGTCGAGCCCGAGCCGCGCGAGACTTTCTTGCGTGCCTTCGATGATGCTTTCAAAAAGTAGTCCAAATCACCACACGATCCGGGGCGGAAAGCTTAGAGGATATATGTATACGCACTGCTTCCTCGACAACCCCCCATCGTTTGGGCCCTTCCTCAACCCCCAGAAAAGCTTCGTCGTCACCACCAGATCCGTCCTGCGCAGCCCCAGCTCTTTCAGCACGCGGCCCCTACACCACACCACATCAGTCTCTCTCTTCTTCCAAATAAAAGAGACGAGGAGGGAGGACGTACATCTCGAGCTCAGACTTCCCGGCAGCATACGCCTCAGCCGTATCAAACATGTTGATCCCAGCGTCGAACGCGGTCTTGATGATCTCTTTGACGGGATCGCCCGTGACCGAGCCGCCCAGGGTCAGCCCTGCCCCCCGCAAAAGAAATGAGTTACACCGAAGAGAGGGGAAGGGGAAGGGAAAGGGAGGAGGGACGCACATCCACCGAGGGAGAAGACGGGCACGCGCAGACCGCTGGGCCCGAGCCGGCGGAAGGGCATGTTCTTCGGGTCGAATTCGTGTAGTACGACTTGTTCTTCAGAGGGCGCCATCTCTATCTTGATCGGAGGGGATGGGAATTAGAACGCCCCTGCCCTCGCGTGTACTTATACCCCGCCCGCGCCGTGCCTGTACGCGCATGATGGGATGACAGAGACGGACTCAAGGATGACGCGTATACGAGGGACCATGTGGCTTATTCATGCATGCGGGCGAGTTGTGTTATCTGATCTTGATAAATATAGAGCTCGCTCGCGGCTTTGATAAGGACCAGAGGTTTCGTTTGGGTGGAGTACCTTCAGTAAGAACGAGAGCGTTGGTGGTGGGTATGGGAAGGGTGCATATGAACGACGATGGGGAGGGCGCGGGAGACTTTTCGGGGAACGGTCCAGTCAGCGAGAGTAGATTCCTAATCCAACACGAACGTACTCGAGTGCAAACTACCCCCGTCCGAAATCACAAATCAACTCAACTCCAACATCAACGTTGCTGAGCAAGACCCGTCGCGACGAACCTCGGTTACTATTACTATTAGAGCTGGGGACGAGGCTCAGGAGGAATTCACGCAGCGCTGCTGTGAAGGTGAGCGTGGGTTGTGGGAACCCAATGAAGTCGGGTATGGTGTAACGGCTAACATTGCCGCCTCTCATAACGCAATACGGCAAGTTCGGAGTGTCGCGGCAGCTCGGGGTTCGATTCCCCGTACCCGAAACTTTTATCACTTGGCCCAGGGATTCCAAAGAATGGAAATGCCTGATACTTTTATACTTTTTTCTTCAGGAAAGAAACCTTGCAATCTGCACCAAGCCTGCAAATTGCTTCTATCCTGTACTTCGGAAATTCGCCTCAATATTTTCGTTGACAGGACCTTGAGCCTTTCAAACCTCTCAACGTGGGACAGCGCAAGGCTGTGTCGATATAAAGGCAAAGTTGGATGGTCCAGGGGTACCCCCTCCAATGCAGCTTGGTTATACTTAAGAGCAAATTTCAAATCCTTGATATCCCCAAGTCTGCGGTACTGAACAGTATGAGAAATGGCGAGGTTGAACTGATAAACTGGAAGCTTTGGATGATCCGGCCGTATCGCCTCGACTACATCCTGCTCCAGTCTAATGGTTTCCTCAAGGTCTTTGAGGTTGCCATATCTGTGATATAACGTGAATTGAGACGCGACTGGTCATGTGACTGGTGGAATGGCCTGCCCTGATGAAAATGCTTGACACGTACGGACGACCATCACTCACGATCTTCTTGTAAATACATACCAATCTCTGAAGCCGGATTCATAGGACGCGATGGTTTGTTCGAAAGTATAGAAATGAGCGTTAACTGATTATGATTCCAGGTCGTTTTAGCAGCTTCCATATGTACAAAAGGCGGAAAACGTGAGTTCCCTAGCATCTCCTCATTACACATCCTCATGCCCAGCACCCAGCCGTCATCTCTCGGCAATTCCGTGACATGACCCGCACCCGGATCGAGTCCCTCCTCGCCTCCTTCCCCAAACTAATCCCCACCAACACGCAACACACCTCCGTCGAAACCTCTGACGTCCGCTACGTCTACCAGCCCCTCGAAGACCTCTACATCCTCCTCATCACCAACAAAGCCTCCAACATCCTCCAAGACATCGACACCCTCCACCTCTTCGCCCGCGTCGTCTCCGACATGTGCCGCACCGCCGACGAGCGCGAGATTCTGAAGAATGCGTTTGAGCTGCTGGGCGCGTTTGATGAGGTGGTGAGTATGGGGTATCGGGAGAATGTGAACCTGATGCAGGTGAGGAGCGTGTTGGAGATGGAGAGCCATGAGGAGAAGATCCAGGAGATCATCGCCAGGGTATGTACCCCCCCCCTCCCCTTCTCACGCCCTTCCCTGACGCTGACCCACCCCTCTGCGTGTAGAACAAAGAAGCAGAAGCAAAGGAAGAGCTCAAACGCCGCGCCAAGCAGCTCGAAATGCAGCGCCGCGAACAACAACGGCGCACCGCCGGCTCCGGCGGGAGCTCCTACCTCGGCGTCGGCGGGGGCGGGGGCGTCTCAGGAGGGTACTCCCCCGTCCCCCAGCGCTTCGACGCCCCCGAGGCCCCGTCCCCCATCACGCGCGCCACGCCGTCCCCCGCCGCGAGGGCCCCGGCGTTCAAGGGCTCGGGCATGAAGCTCGGGACGAAGAAGACGAAGCAGGCGGAGCTGCTGGATGCGCTTGGGGGGGACGTGTTGGCTGCGTCGTCGATGGAGGTGGGGGAGATGCCGGGTGAGGTGGTACAGCCTTCGCCGGCTGCGCATGTGCAGAAGGGTAATGAGGGGAGGGGGAGTGTGCCTGAAGTCGAAGCGGAGAGGTACGTCTTTTATGCTTGATGTGGACTTGATACTGACGACCCCTCCCTTGCCTGCAGCGTGCACATAGCGATCAAAGAACAAATCTCCGCCTCCCTCCTACGGGACGGCGGCCTCCGATCCCTCGAAATCAAAGGCGAGATGAACCTCCTCATCACCGACCCCGCCCACGCGCACCTGCGCCTCACGCTCTTGCCGCCTACCATCACGGATCTGCAGTTCAAGCAGCACCCGAACGTCGCGAAGTTTGGGGGGCGGAGGGGAGGGTGGTGAGGCTGAAGGAGGCAGGGAGGGCGTGGCCGGTGGGGCAGAGCCTTGGGGTGTTGAAGTGGAGGTATGTGGGGGTGGATGAGAGTGTTGTGCCTTTGTCGAGTGAGTTTTGGTTCTCCCTTTTTTGGGGGGTTGGTGGGAGGGTGTGATGCTGATCTTGACCTTTGGGGGCTAGTCAACTGCTGGCCTTCGACCTCGAATGATGGGACGTGTGAGGTGAGTATCGAGTACGAGCTCGAGAATGAGAATGTGGAGCTGTACGACGTGGTCATATCCATCCCACTCCCGTACGTCCCCCCCCCCCCCTTCCCTCATCCTACCCCCCTAACCCCCCTCCCCTCCCCTCCCTATCGCACAGCGCCGGCTCCTACCCAACCGTCTCCTCGCACACAGGCGACTGGACCCTCGACCCCTCCTCGCACTCCCTCGCCTGGTCCATCCCCCGCATCTCCTCTTCCCCCTCCTCCCCTGGTGAAGAGGAGGAAGACACACGCGTGGGCTCGCTGATGTTCACGGTGGGTGGGGACGATGCGGGCGCGTTCTTCCCTGTGCGGGTGGCGTTTGTGGGGAGGGGGAGCGTGGCGGGGGTGGGGGTGGAGGAGGGGGAGGGGGAGGTGAGGGTTTCGGTGGATAGGGTGGTGGGGAGTGAGGAGTATTTGGTTGTTTGAGGGGGTGGAGAGGTTTTTTTGTGGGCGTGGTGGAGGAGAATAGAGATAGAGGTGGTTTTGATGGATTTGAGAGGTGTTTTGGGGAGACGCGTGTGGGAGTAAGGACTGTTTGCTACGCTTTGAGAGAGAGGGGAGTGAAGACTTCCAGCTTCTCGCCTGGCATTGGATCAATTCTGACCTAGTCGAGCGTTCCTCCCTCGATGGCCACGTTCATTGGGGCATAGATAGCTCGTCATTCAACTCTGAACTATTCACATTCCAAACGAAATATTGCTATCAACGTGCAGTTCGGACGACTGTGTATCATATGAAGAGACCCTCATGATTCATAGACTTCAGAGCTTGACGTCCAGCTTCTCGCCTGGCATTGGATCAAGCGGCTTTCTAACCTGGTCGAGCGTTTCTCCCTCGATGGCCACGTTCATTGGGGGTAGGTAGCTCGGGTTCGGCTCCGAACAAGTACATTCCCAAGTGAACTATGGCTATCAACGTGCAGTTGCAGTTCGGACGACTGCATATGAAGAGACTCTCATGATTCATAGACTTCAGAGCTTGACGTCCAGCTTCTCGCCTGGCACTGGATCAAGCGGATAGCTTTCTGACCTAGTAGTCGAGCGTTTCTCCCTCGATGGCCACGTTTATTGGGGGTAGATAGCTCGCATTCGACTCCGAACAACAACGAACTATTGCTATCTATCAACGTGCGGTTCGGACGACTGCATATGAAGAGCCCCTCATGATTTCATGCAATAATGACCTTCTCCGACGACCCCCGCGGCTCCGCCAAGTCGGTGTCGTGTACCAAGCCCATGCGGCTCGTGCCGTATCCATGCACTTCGAGGTAGGCTCGGAACTAGCCCCAAAGCCAAGTTGCCAAGTTCAGCTCAGTGGTTCCGGGGTAGCTGTGTACTAAGACGGCGACTTACCTCCCTGTCCTCGCGCGCCATGCCGTCGGGGGTTAAGGGCTGGATGAAGAAGAAGGTTACGAGGGCGCTGAGGAGGGCCAGGGCTAGGTGCACGCCATTACAGTGAGACAACATCCGGGCTTGCGGGGGGTAGACGAGACGTACCGCTGCCGATCCAGAAGGGGCCTGTGTTGCCCCGCAGCGAGTCGGGGCCTCCGAAAGCTGTGGAGAGGATAAATTCAGATGATACGTCCGACTCAGACAAGGCCACACCGGGACTGACCGTCTATTATGGGCGGGAATACTTGTGCATGGGAGTCGCGTAATGTAGTGAGCTTGGGGTCCTCATTCCAACAGTGAGGGACTGAGGCACTCACGCCAAGTCCCGATGAAGGCGCCTAATTTCCCAGTGGCGGCTGCGACGCCGAAGAACTGGCCTCGGACGGCGGTGGGGCAGCTTTTGCTCGCGAGGATGAAGGTGCAGTTGCCGGGGCCGAATTCGCCGAAGCTTAGGAATATGCCGTAGACGACCTGTGCGGGGGTCAGTGGCGGCGTGGAGTTGAGTGGGATGGACGCGCACGGCGAAGGCGGGGATGTGGTTTGTGAGTCTTTTTAGGAGGTGTGGATCAGCGTCGAGTTAGTTGTGGGCGCGTTGGGATTACTTTAGGTAGAACCCGCTCATGAAGAATCCGATGATGGCTTGCAAGAGGAGGCCGACGATCTTTGGTGGGGGGGGGGGGTCAGATGACTCGATGCCGGGATGAACGGGACTACAGACCAAGGTGTGCTTCGGTCCTAGGTAGTCAATGACAAAGGCTCCCAGAATTGTTCCTGGAGGCGCATGGAGCGGGGGATGAGGAGAGCCGGGCGGCCCCAGAGGATGGAGGTCTGCATACCTGGCATGTAGAACAAGCTGAGAGGTGGGGATAAGACGGTGTTCATGGAGTACCAGGGGTTTCCGAGACGTACTTTATGATGACGTTCCAACCGAACACGATATTGAGGTCCGTGGATCCACCAGTAACGCTAGGGAACAACAAAGCATGGGTACTGATTCCGTGAATAAGTTTCCAACTTACTTGTTGACAATAGTCGACGAGTATATGCCAAACTTCCAAGTGGGTCAGTACGATCACGAGTAAAGCTGGACTCGGGAGCCTCACCGGGTACACAATCATATCATACAGGAACCCATACACGAGGGATCCCGGTCAACAAAGCTCAAGTCGCGTATCGTACCGAAGGACTCACCATACGAATGAAATGGCAGCTAACGAGCGTCCATAGCGCCGCCACACGAGGATGTACGGTATCCGCGCGTGTTTCATGGAGTCCTTCTTGTACCGCACCGGCTCATCCATGCTTAACCGCCAAAGAAACACGCCAAGTGCCGGGACGATGCCCAAGCCGAGGGAGAGACGCCACACGGCGTGCAGGTGGTTAGGGCCAAGACTTCAGCGAGCATGAGACGATGTATGGAAACGATGGACATGGGGGGTGCGTACATCCGGAAGAGGACCAGAGGAACGAAC